AGAGTCTTCGTACTGTTGCTGAAAGCACACATGCGCAGCACTTTGAAGTAAATCTGAAACAGTCGTGCTGTTTTGCACGTTAGTATTGGGGAAATCTTGAATTAAAACTGGTTTGACTTGTTAAAACATGTGAAGCAAGCTTTATTGATCTTTATCTGAGGAGCGAAAAAAGTAAACTTGTCTCAGTCATCTGCAATCGTGTGCCTCCTTTGTGCAAAGTCATACATCACTGTGTTATAATATGCAGTGTTACTGACATATCTGTACTTTATTGTAGCACATTGCATTGTAAAGTCCACAGATCTTTTTGCTCTAACACAAATTTATAGTACAGCTTTGAGCCTAATAAAGACAACATGGAATGGTACCATATCGTACTGTATCTTACCATCCCATACTGCACTGCATCCTATATTGTATTATAACACCATGATGTCCACTCACCTTCACATTTTTCAGATTTTATTTGACCATTTCTCTCATTTAGGTTAGAGGTTCAGGTTATAGTCAACATGCATTCAATAATCAAACTGCCAACACAGTTTGATTTTGCATTAAGTTTATTAGCATTTTTAACATGCAGTGAGCTAGCATTAACCAAATGCTATTATTAAATTTAGCCAGGCAGTATATATACTGTACGCTCCAGTCTGTTAGTTCTAGTTTAATTTGCTGTATTTTGTGCTCAGTTTGGTAAATAAAACCCACATTTTTTTAAAAAAAACCCTGCATCCTTTTGTCTACCTGCTCAGTTCCTCAGACATTAATTATCATATGACATTGTAACAACTTGTACTGTATCACGCCGTGCTGTATTGTATTATATTACATTGCATGCCATTATAACAGAATGTATCATTGTTCAATTCTCAATTCAGTGGATGTGTTTTTAGCCAGTGTCATCCTTCAGTGTTATGGTTAACACCTTGTTTGTGTTACATGCTATTTACAGTTTGTTTTTCATTTCAAAACAGATTTTAGATTGTTTTGTTATTAATTTAATGGGTGTGTTGTTTATGACAGATTAAAATCAAGTTATTCAGTGTTTTCATACTGTAAAGTTACAAGCTGCTGAGAAACTTCTCTAAATGGGTCAGGAAGAACTCTTTTTATTCCAAAGTTTTATCAAGTTAAAGGTTATTATAATCTGACAAATGGATGTAAGACACATACTGCTCCTGATTTCTGCTGATTTGAAAACGCATTGCATCTCGACAGAGCTGTGACACATCAAATCCGACTGAATTTTGGAATTTGTTGCACTCCCAATGAAAAGATACAGCTAACAGGGGTAGGAGCTATTACCCAGAATGCTGTGTGTGTCCCTTTCATCATGTCTCCACTGTGTTTCAGCAGGAGGAAAGACATGACAGGGAGAATGAACTTGACTCTTCCACAAACACCACAGCTGGCTGACTGCTGCTCGCTTGTCATGTGTGTACTTGTACTCTCTCTCTCTGTGTGTGTGTGTGTGTGTGTGTGTGTGTGTGTGTGTGTGTGTGCGCTTATACATGTGTACAACTCAGCAGGCAGGTGCAGCAGATGTCCGGCACACACATCTCTCTCTCTCACACACACACACACACACACACACACACACACACACACACACACACACACACACACACACTCATACAGTAACGCTGTTAACATCTACACAGCAGCAGCCCGGCAGGTTGAGTTAGTGACACTAAAGGACCTCTCCCTGCGTGACCCCGTCAGGTCACCATGGTGATGATAAAGTGCTGAGTCGTGCACATGTGTCCCAGTGCCAGCAGTTTCCAACAACACCCCGAACACGCCCTGGTAATGCCCCTTATCTGGCACACACACACACACACACACACACACACACACACACACACACACACACACACACACACAGCTGGGAGAGGATGGCAGAAGTATGGAGGGATGGACAGAGGAGGTTTCATTTTCTTTCTGCTTCATTGTTGCTTTACCTTGAATCCAATTCATTCGACTGTTTATCCCAAACGCCTCTTCTTCAAATGAATCCTTGTGATTGAAAGATGTATGTCTCTCCATCTCTCTCTCTGTGTGTCTCTGTCTCTCTGTATTTCCTTTTCTCTACATCTCTCTTATGTTGAGAGTTCATGGCTGCTCTCCTTCCATACAAGAATCACACAAAGGACAAGTACTGTTTAATCCCATCGTAGCCCAGCCCTAAAGACAGACCAGCTGGAGGCCTTTGTGTTTGTGTATGAGTGTGTGTGGGTGTGTGTGTCTGTGTGTGTGTGTGTGCACGCGCTACATGACAGGTTATATAAACCGGTGTGCTTCATGCATGTGTGCAACCACAGTGTGTGTGCTCTTGTGTGTGGTTTACAGAACAACGCTCTTTTTCTTATGAGTGTATGTTGATATATATACACACATACATATACATATATATATGTATATGTATGTATGTGGGTGTGTGTTTGAGAGAGAGAGAGAAGGGGGGTTGCAGCATGGGGGGGTATGGGTGGTTATGGGGCCCCCCTCTCACAGGGACACACAGATATTCAAGTTTGAGTTGCGTCGCCTTTTGTTTTCAGGAAGGGGGAGGAGGGTGCAGTGGGCGGCTGGATGGCTGGATGGACGGATTGGTTTGCTGGGACACTGTGCCCCCAGATTTTCCCCAAAAATATCCCCCCTTTTGCCTCCCTCCTCCACCCCCCCTACAGCCCTCCCTCCCTCCCTCCCTAGCCAGTGTAGTGCCACTGTATTGTCTGCTTGCAGGCGGGCCGCTTGTTGCTTGCCTTCTGTCCTGCTGTGCTGAGTGCCTGACAAAGGGGCTCTTTTAAATAAGCAGACAATCCTCGATCACTTGCACACACACACACACACACTCACTCTCCGTCAATTCTTCCATGGCTAGACCTGGCCTGGGAGTGTTTCCTTTTTCACGGAGAATCAACAAGTCTCAGACATGAAAAGGATACAGAAGGCTTTTCTCCCCGTTGCTACGGTATAAGCTTTGAATGAATGCTGCTAGCGTTGCTTTGTGGACTGGCCGTCTTGTCAAGGCTAAAAGCTTGAATCCTGTTTGTTGTGTTGTTATGATGGAGCTTTGTTCTTACTGTATATATAACCAGATCCATTTGAAAGAAAAAATATCCATACTGACATATAACATACTGGTGTTCTTGGGTGCAACATAAAAGCAGCGATCTCTGACTATACTTGCACACACCATACACAACGTTACAACGAGCTAGATATTTAAACATGTGCGTTTGGTACTCTTTAAAAACTTAACTTTCAGATGGAAACAGCTGTCTTGATTGATGTCCTGATTTTGGAAGTTGCTACAAAGTTATGAAGGCTGTTTTTTCTCAGCCAAACCTGCAGATGTCAGTTTAGAGAGAGACAAGCTGGAAACTGGTTTCAAAATATGGCACAACAGTCAAACATCAGGACGCTTTGAGTCCACATGACACTCTTCTCTTTATCTCCTCCTCTCCTCCCTCCCTCCCTCTCCTGGTACGGGGAGCCCTCCTTGGCAGCTTGGCAGAGGCCGCTCCCTCACGCGAAGCAGCAGAGTGCAGGGGCCCAGGCCCCAGACAGGAGCCCAAGCTGGTCTCAGCCTCCCAACATGTTGAGCTGGCCTGCCTTGGGCACAGCCAAATGGTTCTGCAGCTGCCCCTTTGTCCCCCTTCCTTAAGTAAACAAAGGACAGAAACAAATTAATGACCTACATTCACAGCAAACCTCGCACGGCCTCCTCGCAGAGAGAGAGAGAGCAGTTGTCTATAAGCAGATGTTCACTTACAACACTGCAGATTGCAATTAATGATCACCAAGCAGCGCATGACCAAAGGATACGGTTGCTGTATTTTCCGCAGCAGTTATCATAATGTCTGCTGTCTGTCTGAAATGACAATTCAAAGCAGTGCTGAGAACAGGTACCTCAAAAACACTGACTTCTACAATAGTTTGGATGGAAAAAAATCATTATTTTAAAAGATATATTCTAAAACTGCGAAACATATGAAGATAAATATATTTCAAATAATTGCTCGACTCTCATTGTGTGAAATATATGTGGCGTTACAGGTTTTAAATATTTAACTTTTGGCAAGCAAACTGAAATCTTTTTAACGCTTCTAAGTTTCTTAAACCAATATCAGGCATTCTTCAGACAGAGGGGCAGTGTCATAAAGATTAGGAGTGAGCTTATCGCGTGAGTGTGCGTTGGGGGCTTACCGAAGAAACCATCTGTGGCCTAATGAACGCTACTCCTTGGCCTGGAGTCCAGGAGCTTTTAAAGCATCTGTAAGGGTAGGTTTACTGAGTAGCAATACATTAGCTAAAGCTGATTTCTTTACTGGAAAACTGTACTTGAGGAGCTTTGGAATAAGGCTGTGTGTGTGTGTGTGTGTGTGTGTGTGTGTGTGTGTGTGTGTGTGTGTGTTGGGAGGAGGGGAGGGGGGTTGGATCTCAACAAGCTGCTGCACATTTTCTTCTCAAATACATCCTACATCTCAGCCAGTGCAGCAGATATATCAGGAGTTGTGCAGGCACGCGAAAGCACAGCGAGTACACTCACACACACTCACACACTCACACACACACACACACACACACACACACAGTGAGTGTGCAGGCCATCAGACTGTGTCCAAGAATGGCTCACTGTACAGCTTCTCACACAAACATGTACACACACTTGCACATACACAACTTCCACCCACACCGCGAGTCACAGAGGAACAGGACACCAAAACCTTCTGCAACCTGTAACTCTGTGTATGTGCGGGCATGGGAGACAGGGACAGGGTTGCACACAAAGTTTCTGTCTTCAGTCCCCGTACAAGGATGTTGAATTTAAATATGCAGCTATCTCTGTGGTCTTAATGCCAGTAAAGACACTGTGAGGTGCATCAGCATGAGTAGAAACAGATTTATTGTAGGTTAAATGACGCATTCTGGCGTAGAAACCGTGACTGGTTTTATTTTGTCCAAACGAAGAAGGAAAACAGAACTTCACAAGCAGGTTGAATTTCAAGATTCTTATAATTTATTGCAGTTTGCACACAATTTAAAAATGTCAACAACAGCACACCAAAAAATTACAAAACTAAACACAATTAGAATTTACTCCCCTTGAGAGAAAAAAAAAAAATCAACCCAACTATGATTGTCAAAGCTAAAAATGACTAAATCTGAAAAAGAAACATAAAAGAAAAGCAAAGAAAACATTTTTAATCTCAAGAGGGAGCAAATATATTTGAATCAAAATCTGCTTGTTTTTTTCCCCAGACAGTGATTGTCCTTTTTCGAAACAGACTCATTTCAACCCCCCCCCAACCCTCCACCCTCCTCCCACCCGTCTGCCTTTCCATAAACTGTCTATGACATTTTAACATTTCATTTTTATATCTCCCCCCTCTTGTTTTCAAGTAAGCACAGCAAAAAAAAAAAAAAAAAAAAAAAAAGATGGAGATGTCTCGTCAGGGTGGTTTACTTCACAGCGTCTTGAGCAGCTGACATCGCTCCCACAACTCCACCCCACACTCACACTTCAAAAATTAAATAAAATTTTTTAAAAAACAGCCGGACTACAGCAGTTTAAGGCGGTCAAGTACAACCAGAGGAACAGAACAGAACAAAAAAAAAAAAAACAGCAGTAATGATGAAAACAACAGCAGGATGGAGTGAGCACATATGCAGACACGCTGCCAGTGAAGAAATAACGTTTCGAAGAGAAGAGAAAAAAAAAAAAATGAGACGATGCAGTGCAAACTGCCGCAATGTCACCCACACTGTTGCATTGGCAAAGCCTGTAGGTGCCACCAGATGACAGGGCGGCACATACAACCACCCCACCCACCACATGCACATCAATGGGGGTGTGCACACATATACACACACACACAAATATCTTGGAGTGAGGGGAAATGTGGAGCTTTTACTTTTCAGTATCTCTATGTCAAATGTTTTCAGATTGTATAAACGCTTGACCAATATTTTGAAATTATACAGAGATACAGAGGTTTTGAAAAAGAAAAAAAAAATATTAAACTGATGTAGCCCCAACCCAAACACAACATTCACATACAAAAAAAGTTTTCCAATCACATGATCAAAATATAATAAAACATCATTTTCTGATAAATTCAATAAATTCCATGAATTTATACATGATTTTAAACAACTATTTCCCAATGCTCTACAGTATCAAATACTTCCATAGCGTCAGAAATGTTTTTAATAAAGGCATCTTTTCAGCAAAAAATCTGATTTCATGTCTTTTAGCTTAAAAAGGTGCATTCAGGCATGCCAATTCATCTCCCATCTATCTCAAAGTGAGGATTGTGTTTTAAGAGGAAAACACACACGCACATACAGACATCTTATCACATTCTCGCCCCAGCGTCTAACGTGAAATGCACCGAGTTGAGGTGAGTTACTGTGCTGAATCAGCACGGCCCCGCTCAGCTCAGCTCGGCTCGGCTCGGCTCAACATGACGCAACAGTGTGACAAAGATATCTGACCCTTCAACTTTCAGCAGGACAACTCAGTTTCAGCCTCTCTCCTTCTTTTTCTTATCTCTCCCCATTATTCTTCACACTTTAGCCAAGTCAGAGCCACATAACTGCACTCGACAGACCTGAAAAAGGTCGTCAACGAGCAGAAATAATTAAGAAATGGCCCGACCACGTCTAGAGCTGGAGAGGACGGAGACGTGAGAGATGGGAAACAAACATACAGCAGTGGAGAAATTTAACGCCTGAGGAGGAGCAGGAGCAGGAAGTGCTGGGTGGATGTAGATCTTCAGTAGGTTAAATTGACTGGTAATAACCAAGCCACACACTCATAAACACACACACACACACACACACACACACACACACACACACGCACGCACACACACGACACGCACACACACACAGCAGAGAGATCAGTGCATATAGACACAGGCTTAAAATGCTTCATTGTATCGCTTCAACATCCAAAGGAAACACATTCGGTAACATTCTTCTAGGAGCCCAGCGACAGACCTACGACGAGTAAAAAAAAATCCAACTTTTCACTGTCAAAAATGTTATGTTCAAACATTTCCCCCGAGGCAAAAACCACAACTTAAAGGTTTAAGACAAAATCAAATTTTCATGCATTTTTTCCGTAGTCGTGAGAATAATATTCAGTTTTTCAACAGACCGCACCCTGGAGTAGTATTCACAAAGAAAAGAAAAGGAAAGCCCATTGTCAAATATTTGATCAATTACAATGTGTACAGTAATACAGCAAATTCACATTTTTATTTTAAAATATACAGGTTTGGACGTCATGCAACAACAGCAGGTCCCATTACAAAAAAGTAACAAAATAATAATAATAATAATAATAATAATCATTAATTTAAAAAAAAAAAAAAAAACGGATTAAAGTTCTAAAACTATAGCAGAACAATATACAACAACCTTAAATTAAATAGCTTTTCAACAAGAGATGTTTTAAAGACTGCCAGCTACATTTAAGAAAAGAAATCTATTAATAACAATAATAATAATTATTATAATAATTTGTAAAGGTCTTTTCATTTTTAGAAAATACTTCAAATTGATTGGAAGTGAAAAAAGGAGGCTGTGCATTGCATGAGTGCCATCAGTTTGTCTGTCAGTCAGTCAGCTTTACCCTGAACACACAACACCAAAGAGCTTAACAAGAGAAGCGGGGAGCGCTTCGCCAACGACACCTCCATGCCAGTAGAAAATAAAATGAAAACACACAAAACACACTCATACACACTCACGCACGTCAGGTGAAATTTTTGCCAGAGTAGTGCAGTATCACTCACACACACACACACACACACACAAAAACACACTTCTTCAAACAGTGTGTGTGTGTAGTGGTATCGACTTGTGGTGATCACAGTACCCGTTTAGTGTATTGTAATGCTTTTTCACTTCAGTGTGTTCGACCTGAACTCCTGCAGTGGTGTTTTGCTGTCTGTGGAACTGGGACCGATACGCTGGCCAGCGTCGGAGTGTTGTGTCTGAGATGAAACAGAGTGAAAACTCTTCAAAAAGGCGAGACATTCTCACTGGGACCCATGTCCTCAGACGCAATAAAACCACCGAACAGAACTTATGCCAAAAAAAAATAGAGTTCAGAATAAAATAAAATTACCCCAAACAGCAACAACAAAAAAACTCAGTAGTAACATTTTCATGTGCTATTAAAGTGCAATTGAATGAGATTTTGCGACACACAAGAACATGACTCACTTGAACCCCGAATATCAAACTTTGCCACCTCCCTTTCACCTCCCCATGCCTTTCTGCCCTTCTTTCACTCTCCGCTCTCTTTCCCTTTATCAAACCCAGCAGTCTGTTTCTACTTCCACAGTTCCTGGGAACTGTCCTCAATCGCCCAGTCCCTGACATTGGGCAGTGCCAGCGGTTCGCTCTTCACTGACAGCGAGTTGACCAGTTCGCAATGGAACTTGCGAATGTGTCGGTAGAGGTCCCCGGACTGCGTGAAGCGCCTTTCGCACCACTTGCAAGCGTGCGGCTTCTCACGCGTGTGCACCACTGCGTGGCGGCTGAGGTTGTGTGAGTATTGGAAGCTCTTGCCGCAGGTGGTGCAGGTGTAGGGTTTCTCACCGGAGTGTGTCCGCTCATGGCGCTTCAGCGTGTACATGCAGGAGAAGGTCTTGCTGCAGATGGTGCAGGTGGGCACGTTGACGTCTCCAGCGGGCTTGGAGCGGATGCCCTCCTGCTCCCTGAAGTGGGAGCTGAGGTGAAGTTGGAGGATGTGCGGGGAGGGGAAAACCTTGTTACACAGCGGGCACATGAAGATCTGGGTGTGTTGAGCTGACAGCATGTTAGAGACGTAGGGTAGCAGGGAACTATCCATGCTGGCCGCCTCTGCCTGGGCGCGCTCATTTTCACCCCCTAGTATGTCCTCGTCATCTGCTGTGGCCGAAGGCTTCTCGTCCCGCTCCAGCTCTGAGGCCAGAGAGGCCTCTCGCAGAGCGGACAGGTGCGCTTCCAGGCCGAGCCGCCGCTGGGCCGACAGAGGCCCTCCGACACTGTGGTGGGTCAGGCCCCCGTTGGCGCTGGGAACCGTTGCCTTGGTGATGCCGCTGTGCTCCATGTCGTAGTCCCCTCCTCCCAGTTCCTCTTCCTCGTCTGAAGCCACGCCCCTCTCCACCTTCACCCTCACAGCCAATGGGCTTTGGAGGCTGTCTGGTGTAGCTGCCCCGCTAAAGTAGGACTGATGGTGGTTACTGTGGTTGCTACCGGCAATCGGCTTGACTGACAGATCCAGGACGCAGTCAGCCGCATCATTTGACACCCTCCTGCCCCTGTGCCCTCCGCGAGAACTCACGGAGCGGTGGGACCTCTGTGAGAGGGATCCAGTGGAGCTGGTGGGGCTGCCAGCCGGGGAGAGCAGTTTCCCTCCCTCCCCAAGCCCTTCCCCACCCTGCATCTCCACCTCGCCGCGCCCTGGGCTGGTTGTAGCCATGGCTGGGGTCCCTGATCTGTCTGCTGACGGCAGCCTCAGCCACAGCGGTCCTCCCTCGGCCTTCACCTCCTCCTCTTCATCACTGTGCAGCAGGTCGGCAGTAGCAGGCCGGCCTGTAGAACCATCTGATAAACTATCAGCCTTATCGGAGCAGCTGGACCCGCCATCTTCTTCTCTGCGCGTGCTGTCTGCCTCTGTCGTGGCCTTCTGCTTCAAACGTTTCTTACACACCTTGACAATGTCATACATGTGCAAGTAGCTGGCCGCTGCCAGCACATCCTCTACGGGAAGGTCCTGGAACTGCAGCTTGCCCTCATACATGAACTCCAGGAGCAGCGAAAAGGCCGGGGCTGTGACAATGTCGCTGTTGAGGTGCACCACGTCTCTCTTGTCCAGCTGGTCCTTGTAGAAGAGGTGAAAGTACATGCTGCAGGAGGCCAGCACAGCACGGTGGGCCCGGAACTGGGCATCGCCCACCAGCACCGTGGAGTCACACAGGAAGCCCTGGTGCCGCTGCTCGCTCAGACACTGGAGTAAATGTCTGCTGTGGTCTGGGAACTCCATCCTGCCGTCCTCATAACCTAGAGCGACACAGAGACAGAGTCAAAGTTAGACACATCCGATAAAGGTCTAAATATCCACGATGTCAGACTTTAAATTTACACCTAATGCAGGTTTTTAAAGACGTTTTTCTAAGGTTTTAATTGAGTGATGCATTGTAAATCAAAAATATGTTTCAGGAAATGTAGATGAATTCCATTTCATTTTCAAAATGAAACATGTCTAAGGTACAATTCAAGAGAGACCATGACATTGTTTTTATCATCACTAAGGCTTTGGTGTTAACAACCCAATTTTTGCAAACAAAATTATCTTAAACGAGGCCAATTAAAATAAAAACAGAGAAACGCAAGAGGGAAGAGACAAATGCCAAAACCACATATGGTATGAGAAAACAAACCACAGAGAAGAGGACGAGCGAGCGAAAAGAAACACATCAGGAGAAGGTAGGTCAGCAAAAAAAAAGGAACATTTTTAAACACATAACAAGTATATTAAAATAAGATATAAAACACAACAAAACATGCAGCACAGATACCATATATATTTAAAATCTGCTTAGAATTTTTAGCTACACCATGTAACGCCCTATGCACAGTTAAGACTTTTTACTCGCAGTCACATGAACAGAAATATTTCTGCTCAAATTCAAAAACAGCGTGCAGGTCACTGTAAAGTCATGCACACATTCCTTCGTCCAATGGCGCCAAATGTTCATTTTTTTTACTACAATTATTTACTTTGTTTGAAATGAATAAAAAGAAAAGGTTGAAAAGAAGAAAAACTCTTGATAATTATAATTAAAAAGAATAATAGTAATTAAAAGATTTTAGTAATTAAAGAAGAATCACTGATTGAGTTTTTACCCACAGAAAGACTTAATCTCAGGTAAACCACCAGCGACAGATTGTTCTACTCTACTGTCTCTCCGTTCTCTCTCTCTCTGTGTATCTCTCTAACTCCTCTGCCTGCACTCCTGGATTGTCGCTGCTCCTACGCTGGTTATTTTTATTAACCCACTTTGGCCTGGCCTGGCACAGCCCTTTTAGGTAACCGGCTTTCAGCTGCACACGCTGTCCTCACGTACACAACACATACACACACTTAGTACCAGCCTACCTACCAACCACCTCCACAGGCTAAGTCGAGCAGGAAAACTGGCCAATTGAAATAGCACCGTTGAAAACAAAACAGCTTGTCCCCTGTTTAACCTGCGAGCGCCGGCTTTATGTATAAGATTAGACGACGGGGGAAAAAAGACAGAAAACTTGCAGCAACGTTCTTCGGGAGTCCTTAAAAAGGAGATTTATGTAGTTGGTAAAATAAATGAACAACTAATTAGGCAAAATTTGGGACGACAGCAGGCGATAACGAGAAAGAAATCTGTAAAATCATTAGGTCCCACCTGTTAACCAAGTCGATTTGTCCTGCCTGAGAAAATACATTGGTCCCGTTCTGCACTGTGTTAACCAAAGCAGTTAAATCACCTCATTTGAATGAAGCTAAACCAAGAATGTCAGCGTGTGTGTGTGTTATGTGTGTGTGCTCGCCCTCCGGCTCGTTCAGACTGCTTTTAATGAGGGGGCTTACGGGGACAAGGGTGTACCACCTCCCACCTCCCCACCCCCCACGCCCCCCACCCCTCTGTCCAGCCAAACCCTGACACCTCCTCCTTCCAAACACACACACACGGACACACACACACACACACACACACACCCTCCGTCACTCACACGCTCCTTCCCATCTGAATCTTACAAGAAAAACCCCGAACATCCGCCCCATAGTACAAACTGCCCTCTTCCTCAACCTCCCCACCCTCCGCCCACCACCCAGAAGAGAAGATTTACAGTACAATCACTGTAAGTGCCCTGCTCGTCACAGCATCAATCCTAATCCTTAAAGATGGCTAAAAATAAAGACGGCGGTTGCGGCGGTGGGGAGGGAGCCGTCGGCGGAGGCTCAGGAGGGCAGCAGCCCGTCAACTGGCCCACCCGGCCTGGCCAGTGAGACCAGGCAGGGGTCTGAGAGAGAGACACAGAGGGGCAGAGAGGGAGAGGGTGAGAGAGACGCTGGGACGGCCGGGGAGGGAGGCTTACCCACATCTGATCCAGCTGACGGGGGCCATATGGCAGCTGCTAGCCAGATAAAGAGATTAAGACTAGGAGGGAGTGCGATTACAGCTGTCTAGCCAATTCAGGCAGCTCAAATCTGCAACTTCTAAATTAGTCTCCTCTACTCCAGCCGACAGGAGGAGAAAAAAGAGGGTAGAGTAGAGCGCACATGCTTTCAAGTAATTTTACAGCGACTTAGATTTAACTGAAAGGAAAAAACTGATTAGATTATTAGGATTAAATAACTGCTCATTTAATTTTTTGTTCTTTTATAAACTAAAGAATGAGTTCATTTTACTTTGCTCAAATTTAACTAATTAAAAAAAAAGACAAAAGTTCCCTTTTTTTAATTAAAATGTCAAAAAAAAGTATTTTTAAAGATTATTTAATTTTGTATTATAATGAATAAACTGTGAAAAACAAGAACTATGCTCAATTTAGAAGAGTGCTTCTCAGTTGTAACTTCTGCTTTCAATGAATGAACAAAATGCCTGACAACATAAATAGGAAACAAAACGCAAAAAACAATGGCTGAGTTTTTAAATGCACGTCTGTAGACTACAAACTAAAAACACAGCAGAGTGTTCCCCGGACTGCAATTACCCCTCAGACAGGCAGCACCAACACGAGTTTACTACTGAAGCACTCACCAGCAGTTTCACACAGCGCTCACACTGGTTTGACACACCGGAGATCCCCACAAACAAAACAAAATAACTACTCCACTACCCCAGACTCTCCTACTCTATTCACTCACACACACACACAGACACACAAACGCATGCACACACAAAACGATACCTGCAGCAGTATGCATCAACTTGATTAACTCCACTGTAGCAGAATAGCTGGGCTCTCTGGCTGGGAATGGCTGTGTATGTCTCTCTCACTCTCTCTCTCTCTTTCTTTCCTTGCTCTTTCTCTTCCTCGCTCGCTCTCTCTGAATCAATGAGTGGGTAGAAGAGGAGAGAAGAAGAGGGAGGCAGGCAAAAAAAAAACACGCTGTTCAAACTGCGAGGGACAGATGCAAAGTGGAGGAGATGTTGGAGGGGGAACGAGATACCACCTCCCTCCTCCTCCTCCTCCTCCTCCTCCTCCTCCTCCTAACTGGCGCTGATCGGCAGCCACAAACACACACACACACACACACACACACGTATACACAGCATGCGCACACACACACACACACACACACACACACACACACACACACACACACAGCACTAACTCTCCCAGGCTGCCGCTGAGACTCACAATAAAGGACTGGGGAGGGGTGGAGGCGGTGGAGGGATGGAGGAGGAGGAGGTGGGGTGGATGGCAGCCTGTCAGCTGCTCTGACATCATCCTCAGATGGAGATGCTACCTCCAGCTGTGCTCTTTCTACAGCCATATGCTGCCTCCTCTACACTCCTGCCACCAGACTCCTCTTTCATTCTACCAACACCAACACCACGCAACTTTGTCTCTCTGTCTCTCTTTCTCCCCCTTTTTCTCCCTCTCTCTGGGAAAAAAGAAAAAAACCTGGGGTCTACTAAATGCAGTGGGATGATGATTTGGTTTTTGGGGGGGAAAACAGAAAAGAGTTTACACACCAAATCATGCAACCACAAACAAACCACTTGATACCAAAACTATCCAGGAAAAGGGAGCAGAAGTTAACAGAATTTATACAGATGTTTTGAGCAATAAAAAACAACTTTTATTCTAACCTTTTTCTTGTGTTGTGACATATTTCAATAATTCTCTATGTCTCTGTCTCCTACCAGTAACCATAAACAAAGGCCAACACAGCACATTTGCAACTGACAGACGCACGCAGCTGATATTGTTTTCCACTTCTTTATGGTTCAGCGCCCGCTGCCTCGTCTTGTATTCATTCATTCACTCACTCATTCATCCACCCATCTATCTATCCATCCATCCATCCATTGCCCCCCCAAACCCCAACCCCACCCCCCTGCTCAGACCCTTCGGACAACTGACAGGGACAAAAATGAAATGAGGAAACAATGGGAACAAGTCATAAAGAAAGAACCTAATGAGTGCAAATCCTAAACAAAAGGTATACAAGCCTTTAATAAGGCAGGGAGAAACTTATTACAACAGCCTTATTTCACTTTCGGTTTAGTGAAAGTGTGGTTGAGAGCGTGTGAATTTAAAGCTATTTAATATATGCGAGGAGAGAGGAACAAAACTACTTTCTGTTTTAAAATGTCCAATCTCAAAAAACCTTTAATAAAGTTTATAAACATATTAATACAGCATATACATAGGGTAATAAAATAATGTTTTCTACTGATTAAAACTAAATATGTAGGCTACGAAAATGTTAGTGTAAAGGCTTTTATCACAGATATTATTATTATTATTATTATTATAAGCATATTTAAGTAATTTTTAATTGTTTCATAATTCGGAGTGATGAGCAACACGTGTATAAGTTAATCATTTCAAACATTTGTGGATAATATAAGCTAACTTTTTCTTAAAGTTTAACAATAAATCGACAGTTGACTTATAAAATAGGGAATACAAAAAAAAATAAAAAATCTGGTCGACTCCAACTTCTACACTCTTTAATAAGCTTAGGGTAAAAGAAATTCAACCCTGCTTTCAAAGTAGGAGACATTAATTTATCCGACTTAAACTTTAATTAAGTTCACCACTGGAGTTTCAGTCAGCATCTTTAATTACAGTGTTAGAGAGTCGGCTGTACTCTGCGACCACTGACTGCACTATTTCAATTTCAGTTTTACTCTGACACATTTTAATACGGTGACAGCGCCGCGTTCAACACTTCACCTCACAGACGACAACAACCTGATCGATAACTTTGCTATAAATCACACTAATATGCGCTTTAAGTTCATTCAAAAGCAGCCTAAAAAAATAAAACCCCGTCCAACCTCGACAGTTTGACTGTTTGTAAGCTTTCCCCCGGCGAGTGAATTAGCATAAAAGTCAAAAGAACTGCTGACAGGCTGCGAGACTGTCGCCGAACAAACTAACAACACCGGAGGATTGTAATTAATTTCTTAGCAGAAGACATAACAAACACAGAGAGAGACACACACACACACACACAGAGAGAGAGAGAGAGAGACACACACAGACACACTGACCCACGCAGCTAGCTATAGCCCGATCATGGCTAACAAAAGTAAGGCGAAGAGGCTACAATATTGAGCTATTTACAGTTGTTCGGAAGGCCCCGGTGCTATGACAACAGCTGCTAAAACACCGCGGAGGGAGAGCTAACATAGCAACTATTAGTGCGGGGAGACAACACAGTCATGCTAGGGAAGGTTTAGCTACTTTTTCCCCTCCGTAACCCACCCTCTCTCTCTCTCTCCCTCTCTCCCTCTCCTGAGCCTCCTTTAATCGGACTCCGGTATTAAGAGGCAGCACTTACAGACAACACGGTCCAGCGTCTTCCCCGCTTCCTCCGTCAAATCCTTCTTTTTTTCCTTCCGAAGACAAAACTAGATTGACTTTGGACTAATTTCCATAACAGGCTGCCGAGGCGAGCAGGCGGAGGGGGACGGGGAGTCTAGCACTCTGCGGCGGCCAGATGTTTCCGAGCTGTTGCTGCTCAACTCGGGCTGGGAAAGGAGGCGAGTTGACTGGCACGGCACGGAAGCCAATGGTGCCGGCGAGGAGGAAAGTGAAGGCAAATTGGAAGCGGCCCTCTAACAGAAGAGAGGGAGGGATATGTCTTCTTCTCTCCTCGGCGTAGGTTGACACCAGGCAACAACAACAGCAGCAGCAGCACACACACACAGAGAGAGAGACACACACACACACAGTGAGAAGGCAGGAAAGAAGAAGCTGGGCCAAACCAACTGGTTCTGCGAGTCAGTGAGGCGGACTGGCGCAGCGGAGAGCGAGAGAGCGGCGCGGTGCGGCCTGGGTACTGTAGTCAAACAGGAGCGGGGGGGGGGAGATGGGGGGGCGGAGCTGGTGTGAGCAGGTGCACCACCTTGACAGAGAAAAAAAAATAACCCTGTTGGTTTTTTTTTTTTTTCTTGGTTGGTTTTTTTTTTCTGCTACTGGCAAAGATATTAGGTCCTAATCAGTATAAATGATGTGCACCACTTCCAGAGGTAAAAAAAACAAACACACATGGTCCCCAAAAGGCTGCCGGGTTAACTACAGTTTGCCTTGTACGTGTAATTACCTAAAGGAAAAGACTGCGATATTCCACTGTTTGTTTTTGTCCACACATCCCATTAAAAAAGACCAGAACCACAATGTGTTAGAGTCCGCTGGTTTCTACCAAAGATGAAAATCTTTTTTAAAAAACGTGTCAAAAAGAGCCACATGACTTCCTGTAGTTTTTTTGTTTTTTTTAGCAAACGTTACTCAAACAGGAATAAGAAGCATATTTGTTGGGGACTATTTTCAGCTGCAGATTTGGTGGAGTATTTACAGCAGCAGGATGTGTATGTGTGATTGACTCAAAATAAACTAGAGTTTAGCACAGTTCGTTGTAATGAAGAAACATGTGACCCGGTGCAGATACACAGACTTGATAGTAGGAATAAGTCATCGTTGGTTTTGCTGAAAACAACAAAAATATAGAATATCACCAGACTTACCCTCTAAAACAGAAATAGTAAACAGGTATATTATTACTTATTTCCTTATTGTATCTGGGCCTGAAAAACCAAATCAATCATTAAGTATGAGTAGCTAACTCTAGGTCACTAATACCTTTCCATCAATCGACAAAACTATAGTTTTTCTATTGCAGTCTTCATCTATAACCACCTGAAAACAGAGGTAACTGACCGTGGCATAGATCTGCATTAAAAACATCACGTACATACTGAGGATAACCTCCTTTTATTGTCACTATAAGTCATGATAGTGTCTGTCCACCTCATTCGCTGTTGATTACAGTTGTTACATGCATGGCTGCCTTCAGTTTCTGATGTGCTGTCAGATTGTCAGTCTAAGCTCTGTGAGTGGAAAGGACAAACCCTCAGCGACAAAGGCAGTGGATGCAGTGAGAATGTAGCTGCATTAAACAGGTTTGTTTTGGGAAAACAGAGGTAGAGATGTGCTCATTTGATTTACAGCACGTTGAAGGTGATTTTAAGTCCCCAAAATGAGTAATTAGAACAAAAAAAGGAATATAAGGAGTAATAAGGGAAGTAATACCAGTCTTCTCTAAATGAGTAATGTAAGCCAAGCATACAAAATTAGGCCTCTGGTGAATATAATATAGATATATAAGACTCAGTACCTCACCCGACATGACTGGCACTTCCCAAAGAAGAGGCTTTATGTGGTACAGCCTGTTTAACCTGTAAGTTTCCGTTTACAATAAACAGGGAGTTGCATACTCACACTGGACTGCTTATAATTTAGTTTATCACTCTTCAATGTGGGACCCCGTAGTTTATCTATGCGAGGCTGTATTTTTCTCATACATCTGTCTGAGGGTGATTTTTCTTCCTCTCTTATGAAGAATGTGTCTTTCTCAGTGTGACGTGCTGCAGAGCTGGAGACATTTGGGCTGTAAGTTTCCTACATGACATCCAAGAGAAGAAAACAGCAAATCTAGGACACAGAGCAACATCAGCAGCAGTGTTTCTTCCTGTCCAGAAGAAAAAAGGCAATCTGTTTTGCAATTTTTAAGAAAGGGGTGTTCAGGCGCCCAAACCAGGGTGCACACAGGGCAACCCAAGGGACTTAAATTAAAAAATGTTTTAGAAAAACACACTGAACAACAAGTTAATTGTGTTATAATAGGCTTGAATCAGAAATAAATCAGATCATTCATAGGGGATTACATTAAAATAGACAAAATAAATAATGTAATACATTTAATCAGAGGTTTCTCTGCTGTAAAATCAAATCTAACAATTTTAGAAATTCCTCCCAGTCGTGGGTCACTGGGACAAAAACCTCCATCGAATGTCTGTCATGGGAGCCTCGACATGAAAAAGTTTGGGCAGCTCTGGTTGCCTGAGTGAGTCCGTGGGCCTATTTGCATCCTCTAAACCTGTCCCAGTAAACTAATTGGCGTTACTAATAGATGGCTGGATGAACTGCAGCCCTGTATGGTAATGAATTCACACGATCCGGTGTCATAGCTGAAGGAATTGTTAAAATGCTAATGAATGATGACCCTGTTATGTGTCTATCAATTTGGGGATCCACGTTACCAGTGCATTACAATGAGCCCCTTGTTCATGCATGAAAATACAATTAGGCCCACAGGCAGGAACAGTTCAACATGAGGCCTGGACAGAAAATCGGATTTAAGGACAGACTTTCAAAACTATTTGCTAATTTGAGCAATAAATATAAAGTAGTCCAACCATTTTGGTATAATCAGCAGATTTCACTGAATTTTAGGTTAATTTTTTGGACAGTTTTCTGTCAGCGTGCAGGAAGATTGATGTGTTGAAGACTCACTTCACTGTCAGACAGCCTCTTTTGTCCCTACCATGTATAGAACATTGTAAACAGAATAGCCTTGCATGCATTGAAATCTGTCATATGTGTATGTGTGTGTGTATGAATGCCTCAAGAGATTCTTGTGCAATTTTCCAAACTTTTTCCACCGCTCCTGTGTTCCTTTCTCTGATCCACATATTGTTTTGCCACTGACAGATGCCAGAATACAGCCTAGTGTGTCCGTGTCTGTGTGTGTTTGCGTGCATGTGAGCCAAAAAAAGCAGAGCCAGCCTGATGTTTGAAATTATCTGTACTACTATTTCATCCTCCCTACAGCTGAAAACTAAAGACAAAGCAGAAGGCAGGCTGAAAGAAAACACGGAAAGACCAATATGCAAACCAGAACTTGTATTCACACGTCCACTGCAAAAGTTTTTGTTTGGGTTTAGATTTCGTTTTCAACTCAAAACTGAGAGGAAAGTAAATCCACCCTTCCACAAACAGTCTCATATATAATCAGTCAGACCTTTCTCAGATCTTCTTCTCACAGCTTTTTTTAAATATAAATTATACAGGACACATTTAAGAAAGTTACCTAGAGCCCAATTTATTTGAATATGTGTGCTGTTCTAATGTAACTACAGCATTGTATTTGGCTGATTTTCTACTTTCCACCTCTGGAGGTCGCTGTAGATCCCACGTTTTACACTCTAATTCTCTGTCTCTTGAGTTCAGTTCAATGAGGCTTTGTTGGCATGACACTGTGATCACAAAATATGTCGCCAATGCAAATACATAGAGGAAAGTAAGTAATACATACAATGAGAACATTAACAGGTAGTAAGGTGCAGGACATGAGGCGAAACAGAAAAAGAAAGAAGGGAAATTATGTGTATTAAAGTACAGCATATGAAAATAAAGAAAAACCTTAATCTTCTTTCACACTTACCTGCCTTGTCTTGTAACAGTGCTGCCTTCTGTGCCACAATCAGCCTGTTTCCCCTGTCTATTCACTGTGTTTGCGGTGCCTGTTTCACATCATACTAATATACTGCTTTTTATTTCAGTCCCCCTGAAGCTGATAGCCTTGGGTGCAGGTTTATTTTTTTGTCTAAAGCAAAGAAAAAGCATTTTATGAATCTGGCAGAAGAAGCAATTCAGAGAAAACCTCTGGCCATCCCTGAGACATTACGACTGTATGCTTCACAGATTCTGCCTTTCCTTGCCAGCATTAATTATATTTTGCTTGTCAACGGGTTTTTATATTAAAACGTGCTTAACACAGACAGCTGTTTGAGAGCTACTCGGAAAAGGGATTCTGATGATGATCCTTATTTTTCCCACTAAAATGCATCTCAGAATGCTTTATGAGGGATCTGTTTATTGAAAACACACTTAATAAAGCAGTTTCTTTTACAGAGGATGTTTGATGTAAAAACTCTTTTATTTCATTATGTTCAGGAAACTTCTCTCATTTCTTTATTTCTTTCTAAGGACACCATATTGTTGCCAGCTTGCTGTGAAACTGACCTTTAATTTACTGGTAAATATAGGGATCAAGATGTTTAAGCTTATTTGCATTCATTGTAAATTGTTAAGCTCCGCTTTAAAGCAGCAGGGGTCCGGAATAATGAAATAAACCCATAAAAAGCCGCTCAGAGGGGCATCAGGGAATGTAGCATCCAAGATCATTGTGTCACTTCCTTTGACAATTTCTCTTACTGATTTGATCACAAAACATGAAGATGTTTGTATGGCTAGTTGAACACTTTTAATACAAGACTTGAGAAGAAGTAGAAGAGCATTCTCCAGTTTGGTCTTCGCCAAATCACCTGTACTGTAGTGGTTTGAGAGACACCACTTGGTACACATTCTGTCCCTCTATCCATCTATCCAAGAGCCTCCCAGTCCTGCACCCGCCTGCAATTCTCCACAGCTTCCCTCATCATGCCCGTAATAGAGGCAAGCAAGAGGGGAGACTCTCTGGGAGACACTGGCTGGCTGACAGAGGGAGGGAAGGAGGGAGGTAGAGGGGGTGCAGACAGATGTTTGAATCTCAGCCCCGGGGGGGCGATTGAGATCAATCCATCCTCTAAGGCAGAGACAGAAACAGAGAAAGAGAGAGAGAGAGAGATGGAAGCAATGTCTATTAGTACAATTGGCTGCCCTCTTTCCTCTCTACATCCCAGACATCCTGATCCTCCTTTTTTTGTTGCCGAGGTGAGCAGCATATCCAAACCCATTAAAGATCCAAACATTCTGAATACCCCTGGAGCAAGCTGCCACTGTGAGAAAGAAAAAGAGTAAGAGACAGGGGCGCCACCAAGAGGGGGCCATGGCCTCCCCGATTCAATTGTTGCCCCACCCCCATATGCATATTATGCTTCTGAGTAATGAGTCCTGTATGCATGAAGGCCTACTTGCAACAATAAAGGGTTGTAACATTTTATACATTTGGATTTTAGTCAAATGTCAAAATTAAAACTAACCTGGAGC